GGCACTGCACAGCACGGGCACTGCACAGCACGGGCACTGCACAGCACGGGCACTGCACGGCACGGCACCAGCACGGTGCGGCTTCCCTCGCGGCGGAGCGGCATCTGCGGTTCGCCCCCACGCGCCGCCCGCTGGCACCCGCGCTTCGCACCCCTCGCGCTCCTGGCTGAAAGCTACCGGCTGTGTGCAATAACGCACCGCTGCTGCTGAAAACCAGCCGGCTGCGCTTGTAGCCCGACGCCTCTAACGGCACTGTGCAGATGTAGAAAAGTTTCATAAACGCCTGCAGCACCGCGTTGAGGCAGCAGCGCTGCGGCCGCGCCGAACCGTCCCGCATCGCTCCGCTGCTACAGCAGGCTGGACAGGCGCTGCGAAGGATGCCGCGGTGCTGTGCCTGGCACAGAACCACAGAATGGCCCGGGTTGGAAGCGACCCCGAGGAGCATCAAGTCCCAACCCCCCCGGCCCCCCCACATGCAGGGCCACCAACCTCCCCATTTCACAGCAGCCCAGGCTGCCCAGGGCCCCATCCAACCTGGCCCTGAACACCTCCAGGGATGGACGGGGCATCACAGCCTCTCTGGGCAGCTGTTCCAGCACCTTACTACAAAGCAGCCATGCAAACAGCTCAGACATTGCTTCCTCTGAAAGCCCTTCCAAAGTCAGGGAAGGTGTGCAATCTATCTTGAAGTAGTAGAAAAAAGATGACTTGTATTTAACCAGCACTATGGTTCTAAGGTTTTTCCCACTGCCTAGTAACCACAAGCTGAGGACACAGAGCACACGCTGCCCTTCCTGCACTGCAGTAACACAGCTCTCAGTGGCTGTCAGGACGTGTCTGTGTTGGACAGAAAGCACTCAGCACGCAGTCGACTCACAGCTTTTATTTACACTCGTCTACAGATTCATTTTGCCTTACATTTTATCTAAGCCAAACGAAACCATAATTTTCTTTTGTCTGTAGGCCACCACTCGCTAAATGTAAAAACTCTCATCCGGGTAAGTACAGCAACAATTGGAATACAGAGCACAGGTCAAAGAACCGAAGGTAACACATAGCGGCTATCAGATCTGCTCTTTACACTGCAGTAGTTGGACTTGGAAGGCGCCAGAGGCACAGTTATGAGACTAACCTGCTCTTGTGTAACCTACACACACTCAGCACGAAAATCAGATGGAAAGAAAGCATTGAAGAAGAAACTGCAGGTCGTTTTTTTTTCCCTGCTAAAAGATTAACAGAAATATTTCTACACCAAAACAATTTTGCTTACAGAACAGTCTGAAAGAAGTGTCTTGGAAAGGAAAACAATGTAGTTTTTTGTTTTGCTCCATTTGTTTTGGTGAGTTCATCTGAAAAATCAGCTGTGGACTACGGGTTTGAAATTGTACAGCGGAGATAACTGCAGAGAATTGCTGTCTGTTTGCTTACAAAGACTTTTCCTCAACATACTTACCTTGTGATGGCACCGAAGACACTTAAATCTTTCTTAACCAAACGGAGCTCAAGAGAGACCAAGTTTCAGTGTGATATTACTAGCAAAATAAGTTCTGTAAAGCATTTTAAGCCATAAATTGTACGTTTGGGGAAAAAAAAAAAGAATGATGAAGAACACATTTGTGATGCTAGGACTTTCTACGGTTTATTTTGGTTTTTAAACATAAATAAAATTCAGATACCTGGAAAATTTGTCTGCCGAAAATGAATTTTACAGATGGGCTGCAGAAACTTCCCTTCATTCCAAGAAGCCATTTCCATCACTTCTCCACCTCAAGAGTAGCTCCCAAGCGATCCTTCCCAAAGAAAGGACTGCAAAGCCCAGGATCCTCCACGTGAAAACACTTAACCCAGCACCGACTGCAGAAAGTGCACTTTCCACAGCCACAGGACGGGCAGCTACAAGGCTGGAGCAATGGAGAGGGCAGTGCCCACATCTCAGACATCCCTACACGCTCTCTGCAGGACCATACTGTGGGCTCCAGACTTAGCAGCATTTCTGCTCTGGGCGTAGTTAAAGAGAGAGAAGGAGGCAAGCATCTACACTACAGCACAGAAAAATAAAGACCCAGGAACTCACGACTTTGATCCAGTGAGCAACAACAGCCCTACAGCTACACTAATCTTTGTGGTCCCACAAGAGCTACGTGAAACAAGCTCCCGAGGTGCAGAAAGCTCGTGGGCTCCTCCACATCCTCAGGTGCTTTTTTTGCCATTGCCACGTGAAGAGCAGGGTGGTGTATGAGCGCATCCAACCCGTGTCTGCTCATACGTAGGAAAGCCAGGAGCTGAGTAACTTAGTCTTTCAAAAATAAAAACAAACAAACCAAAAAATCCCCTCTTACTCAAAGAAACAAAACAAAAAACCCTCGCACCTCCTCTGAGGGGTTTATGGCTTAAAATGCTATCTCACTTTTTGTTTCATGAATGAACAAAGCTGCAGTTTTCCAGAAAGCAAGGACAGACATGCACCTCTACGAGCAGATTTAGCACTTCTGACCAAGTAAGACACCAACTTCTTAAAAATGTCTCATGCACTGACTGGAAATTTTTTCTTTTTCTTTTTTTTTTTTTTTTTTCCCCTACATGTGAGCTTTAAGACATTATTTCTTTTTAGAACTTGTACGGGAACCAGAATGGGAAGATCCAGATGATGATCTGCGGCGTCTGCAAGATATAAAGGGAGAAAGCATGCAAACAAATAAGTTGAAATCAATTTTAGCATCCACTTAGAGTAGTCTGCATCCTATAATAGCTGGAAGCCAAGTATATCTGATAGGGGCCTTATGAGAATATAAAAAACTTCAGACCACTTTAAGATAACAAATGCGGATTTCTAGAATTAAATTCACATTAGGTTTAATACTGAAAATAGAACGTAACTTCTAAATGCAGTATTCGCTTATGAAAACAAATTAATAATGCACATATTAATTAACAGCTTTGCACACTGCAAGAACGGTGACCCAAGTGTTTCTATGGAACATGCTCCTAGCAGGAGGGAGCTTCATTGGAGGAGGAAAAAAACAAACAAAACCCAAAACAAATAAAGAGGTTTTAATAGGAACAAAACGGGGGAGGTGAGAAAACTACTGCTAGCATCAGAATTCAATTGCTTCCTAGCGAACCTCTGTCCTTCGAGGAGAAAAAAAACAAACATAATCACACGTTTCAATACAGCCATTCTTATTCTACATAAACCCAAACCTTTCGGGTGACCGTGATCTCGATCGTCTTTTTTTGCGATCACCAGATGAAGAAGATCTAGAGCGACTCCGCTTCTTGCTCCTCTCGGGGGACGAGGACGAACGAGAGCTGGAGTAAGATCTTTTCCTTGGGGTTGAAGACCCCCTGTAGGACCTGGAGCTGGATCTTTATCGATTAAGAAATAAATGAGATTTAATCCTGGGATCATAGAGAAAGAGCCAAGAAAGAACAAAACGAGACAGTTCTTGTCAGCACTCCTACTCTACCAGGTACGTGTTCTAGCAGAGGACCGAGGATCCTTTAATACTTACTCTTGAGTTAACTGACAGTACAGACTGCAATAGAAGCTCTCTCTATACATTTTGCTAAATTGAGTTTCCAGATATGCAGGCCACCAATGGTTTGGAAACCTCTCTCCAGCCTTCACCAGTGCTAGGTGACTGGACAAAAAGCATTGGACACTGGGACAGCAGGGCGCCATGTGAAGACCCCCCCGTAGTTAAGTTCACAAAGCAAAAGAGCTCAGAAACTACAGCTGTAATACCAATTTAACAATGTTTCACTTCATAGTAAGGGATACTTTGTGCTGAAACTTCAAGTGCAATGTATTCCTCATCTTACTAGAACAGGAAAAACCCCTGGAGGGGTATTTACAAGTGCCAAAATAAATCTGGGCAGATTGCAAGACCTTCTGAAACTGAAACAATAATAACAGAAATATCACAGGATGGCTTGGGTTGGAAGGGACCTCAAAGATCATGAAGCTCCAACCCCCTGCTGCAGGCAGGGCCACCAACCTCCCCATTTCACAGCAGCCCAGGCTGCCCAGGGCCCCATCCAACCTGGCCTTGAACACCTCCAGGGATGGACGGGGCATCACAGCCTCTCTGGGCAGCTGTTCCAGCACCTCACCACTCTCATAGCAAAGAACTTCCCCCTGATATCCAACCTCAATCTGCCCTCCTTTAACTTAAAGCCATTTCCCTTTGCTGTTATCTACCCTTTCAAAGAGCTGATACAGTATCTTAGAATATCAGTTCATGTGGCATTTCTTAAAAAAAACAAACAAACAAAGACATCCAGCTTCACTAACAAGAACTTAAAAATCTCATCATGTAAAAAAATAGATAAATGCACCTCTGGAAAGTGTAACAGCACTGGGAAGTCCTACACCAGTCCAGAATGATGTGAGAGCACCTAACAAGGCTTTTTTTTTTTCAGTGAGCTGAATAAAACGTTTTCAAAGAAAACCACAGCGCACACTGCTGGTAAAGTGCTCCCAGGGTTCTCACTGTCAATAATTAAGCAGGCCTACCCCAAGCAAGCTACTACACGGGGCCCTCAGCAGATGTGTGCAGCACAGGGCAATAACCTGCTCAGCTGAGAAGCCCTTCAGCACCTGCTGCAGCCACACGTGGCTTTTTTGCTTCCTAGCAGCACGGCTGCCATCTCTGAACCTCACGTGGGCACCACAGAACGTTACTGCCACCACAGAGCAGTGGCACCATTTAGGACATGTCTTCTCAGCTCCAGCTGTCTTTCCTTATTTTAGGGTTTTAAGAGTCTCCACCATTTACTGCACATGAGTTTTAAACAGTCCCCA